TACATTACATTTCCTTCTTTAGTGGGTGCTGAGCTGCTGCCTGTGCTTGGCATGAAAAGGGCTTCTCTCTCCCTCTATTTGTTTAAAGCCCACAAGAACCAAACCTCATGAAAATGCATGCATGGGGTTGGTTGGGGAAAGAATACAGACCAACCTGCTGGGTCCCTGCTCCTGACTGATGTCTATGTGTTTGGCCTCACACTTACAATTGGTCTTGGGTAGCAGTACTCCCAGCCAAACCAAAGTCCTTCAAAATCACAGAGAGGATCCATCTGGAGACAAGAAATTTTTCAATGTGTTCACTCTTAGAGAAATTATGATTGGTTACAGGTGCAAGCAATAATGAAATAACTTTAGGATTTATTCATCTCCTACTAAGTCCTAGTTTTGATTTTAACTTGACTGAGATGAAAATCTAACAAAATGTACTAATTTGAATTCCTTCCTTATTTCCCACCTTCCCACAACAAGCATGTAATTTTAGTACTTAAGTACAACTTTAAATGCAGTGGTCCTAAGAACCACCCTGGCAAAGGCTGTGACACAATTAATTTGAGGTACTTACTGACACTGGATGATGCAGAGATCAAAGTGGATTCTGAGAAGGATAAGACAATATGGAGTTGATAGATTTTTTTATAGTTATTAAATATACTGGTCAAGATGAGTCTACTTCAGAAACTTTCTCAACTGCTGACAGGATCTGGAAGGAAGCTTGGGAGGGAACATAGAGTATGTTCTGTGGTGAAGTATCATGCAACATCAGCAGAAGGATATGGGGCCAGATGACTGTTGGTCAGACATAGCTCTGTGTCTAGGGAGAAGAAATCAATTAGCCTTTTGTTTGTTTATCATCTTCCTCTATTCGCTGCCATTTTAGATTGCACTCTCTTCTTGCTCTGGGTGTGGGAAAGGTTTTATTATCAGCAAGGGGTTATCAGTTCTCTATCAGTTAGCTATCAAAGGGTATCGCTCAAGGGGCAGAACCTTTGATGGAGGTAACAGGGCTTTACCAGCAGATTATGTAAGATAACAGTGATATATGCAAGGTTAAGCCCAAAGAGTTTTTTCAGAAGCAGATAGTGAGTTTAATTTAAAAATTCCTGCATGTTTTTCCTCCTAAATACAGGGAAATAAAGTTACATGACACTATTAAATTTAAATTCCCAGTACTGAAAGGAATGAAAGTTTTTGCAGAAGCTATTAAAAGTTTATGTTGTCATTATAGGTCTGTCATTATACCTGCTGATACTACACGGTTGGTTTGTTAATATAACTAGCTCACCAGCAGCATTCACATTAATTTTCACTTTTTACTATGTAACGTTAGTGCTATTTATTAGCCAGCCAGACCATTTTTAGTAGTGTTACAAGAACAGAGTGTATATTACACAGCAGAACTGGGCTGCACCTGCAGCTGACCATTTCTATATTTATGGCTGTCTGACATCTGTAATGAATGGCAAATGGAAAATATTTGTTTTTTCTTTGGCTTAGGGTTTTTTTCTTTTTTTTTTTTCATGTTTTAAAAATAAAAGTGAAGTGAAATACTTGGCATTAATTAGAGGTTTAAAATATCTGCTAGTCTCTTGCCAAGGTGCCCTGAAGGATCGGATCCATAGGCAGTGCTCAGGAAAGAACAAGTTAGCCAACCTCAACTTTCACTGGAAAACTTGACTGGAAGAGTCCATATTACATTACAATTTAATTTGTAATCATATCCAGCCCCTTCAAGTCTCAGGAACTACAGTCTTTCATTGTATAATTTTAAGATGAGGAATTTACCATGTATTCTTAACAGATGGTTGGATTTTTGCAAACTTTACAGCAATCTCATAGACTTCAAAGTCAAATTAAACATCTTCATGCAGTAATGTTTATCTCACAGATGTCACTGAATTATAATCAACATGTAGAGCCTATTTTTATTCCTCCCTTACTCCCACCAATGATGCAACAGTTTCAGTCATAATACAAAGAAATCCACTGAAATGCAATAGAAATTCAGGCTGAAACTATTCCAAAGCAGTCTGTTGTGTAAAATTCTTATCACGTAGAGATCTGCTTTTCAGTTTAAATGTAGAAGTATTTATGTAACTAATCGCTAATAAACCCGACGGAAAAGATACCATGATAAAGAGCAGGATTTCAACAAAATAAGATCAGATTGCTCATTCTGCATACTCACAGATAAAGTAAATACACATTGAGATAGACTCTTTGGAGCATGTAGCAATCAGAGCCACACTAAAGTCATTTGAAACAAAGCTGGAGACATGGACAGTAGTCTGGTAACAATGAAACTGTCACTCAGGACATGGTCTCTTTTTGACTTGGGATAAACATTTTTATTTTATTTTGAGGCATACTAGATCAGGTATAAACGGAATTTTGTCTGTGTTTTAAGGAAAAACTATGCTAAATCAATTTGATTTTTTTTTTCTTATAGACAGTCAGATTTCTCAAATAAATCGAAATTTAGTCTGCTGGCTCTTATCTGGTTCATGAAATAGGGAAAATTGACTGTGAAAAAAAAGCCATAATGAGCGTGGCTTTCATTATGAGAAACATGATGGCTTGGTGCTACTGTTGTTTCAATAATAACTCTGTTCTCCGTAGGATGCTACCTTTGATAAGCCTCAGAAAAACGTACTTCAGGGAGGCTGTATGGAAGTTTCTTCATACTGTAGAAAGAACCCAAAACGCTTGAACTGAATGGAATTTCACATCAGTTCTGCAATATCTGCTACTAAAATGAATATTCCAAACCTCAGTGTTTGATTTAAAATTACCAAGAAATATTTTTTCCAGGGGCAAAACTAGGGGGATTTCCTATTCCCACATTCTTCTGCTATTCATCAAAGAGCTCTGTAACCTACTGACAGGGCATATATCACCCTCTATATAGTTGCTGATAATACTGAGATTGCAGGTTAATGTCACCATCAGAGTCTTTCAATCACACTGTGATTTAGAAATAAGTGAAATAATAAGGAACAGAAGTGAAACTACAAGTCCATATTAATTGCTCCTCAAAGTTAGGAAATCTTGTGTTTATTCTTGTGTTCTTCACTGTAATAAAAGATATTGACTGACAAAGCCCTGGCTGGATTTTAACTTCAGCTATTCATAACCTGCATTTTTACTTACTGTTGTAGTTTGTACCTTCATCTGAGAGATTTTATTGTCATTTTAATACATGAGAAAAGTATCACTTTCCATCAGCTTCCTTTTCATAACTCCACATAAATGTTTCCCTGTGGTGTGTCTGCAGCATGGTGTGAGCATTTGATAGACAAGGTTGTACCAAAGCTAATCACAATTTAATGAATGGAAATTTTGCCTTTAGCTCATCCTGATGGTGTTGATAGTAGGGGTGGTTCTTTTTTACCTTTTTGTTGTTGTTGAGGATATCCTTGTGGGTGCAATTAAACTGGTGCCAAATTACCTGAAATAATTTGTGGTTATTAAACAAACCACTCTATGATGTGGAAAGTGCATTGTTCACTGACATTCCATAGGCTTGCTTTTTTTTTTTTTTTGTAGTCACTAATCTGAAAAAAATGCTTTGTGTATTCTTTCTCTTGGGTGGTGGAAGAAAAGACTAAGCTATATCACAAAACTGCACATATGATCTACAGCTGGCAAGTTACATTACAATTAAACAAAAATGACCTCATGACTTACAAAAGCTGTTTAAAGAGACATCACTTGCAATGCTAACTGTAGCAGTTGATGAAAAAAACAAGATGCAAACCATCGTCCTATTTCCCTGACACTGAATGATTTAGAAGTGCTGTGTTTGTGTAGACAAAGTCATTACTGGCATTTGTTTTTGTGTGTGTGTTTGTTTGTTTATGTAATGGTTTTTGTTTCTTTTAAAAATTGTAGAGTTGAACTAATAAACTATATTATCTTCTATCATAAAACTTACTTTTCTTGTTCTTTTAGTGCATAACTATTCCACGTCTGTATTCATAAGCATTCTCCTCCGGTTATACATGACGGTTGCTTATGGTTCCTACTGTTTGGTCTTCTGATTATTTAGCTATCAAATTTGTTATTCCCAAGGGTTTTACCATTTCCACTGTATTCACTGAGGAACTCTACACCCACTATTTAACATTAGTTAGGGCAACTGAGGCATGTACACTTTGGCCAATCATCTATATATCAGAACTAATGTATTGGTCTTAGCCACAGGTAGCTCGACAAGCATCAATAGCATGAAGTTAATATAAACCTGACATAAATGAGAAAACTGACATAAATGAGAAAAGAACTAAAAGCATGTGTTATTCTGTGGTAATTCTGGGGCAACTCCATTAGCATCAGTTGTCTGAATTGGGTTTATTCTAGCACAGAGGAGAATTTTAAAAGTGTCCCACTCCATCTTATTTGACTGCTTGATAAAAATAACTGAAAAATCCCAGCTAGTCTGACAGATTCTTTTGACATTTCCCACAGGAAGTGCTTATTTAAACAGTCAATGCCTTTCCTAGATACTTGTCAACCTGTTTGGCCAAACAACATTTACCCAGTCAGCAAATTAAGATGTAAAAGAAGCATATGGGGATATCTCCAGGTAGTTTCTTTCCACAAACAATGTACAACACTTAATTTCCTACCAGGAAGTTATAGCCATCTACTGAGATTCTAAAACATGATTAGTTTCAGAGGCTTGTGTTATTTAAAAACCTGTAATTCAAAATAAAGTTATAAATGTTGCAATCACTTTATGCCTGAAACCTGGAGAAACCTGGTTACTGCTGCCTCTTTGGAGAAAAAATGGGACCCTTTAGATTTTTACTGATAAGGTATGAATAACATTCTCATAAAGCTCAAAGATTGCCCAGATATACACATTTAAAATAATTATGGTAATTAAATAGAGTTGCAAGCAGCTATAGCTCCAGGCAACACCAGTTAAATGTAAAGAGAAAACATCTTCTGCATATGTTTGTGATTTATGTAATTACATGCTTCTACAAGCTACTCACCATTTATTGGCAAACAGCCATCTCTTCTTTCATTACAATTTAGCCACAGTAACATACTTCGTCTGTTTGAAAAGCTCCAGTTAATAATGCCACCGAGGATGCATACAACAACACTGTAGAGTGAATGTGAAAAAATTAGATGTCATTTGGTTGCATGTTAAAAATAGCCTTTGTTGGCATGTTATTGATGTAAATCATGAATGACTCCATTTTAGACAACTAAATTACACCTTGTGTCAGTGAGAAATGAATAAAACCCAAGGTGTGTTTCATGTATGAGATTATGTGTTTGGTCTTGAGAACTACCATTTTTCTAAATGTAGTAATTTTTTAAAATTAATTTGTACTGAGCCATTCTGGGGCAAGTCCTTACCAAATCCAGTAGAAAGATAGCAAATTAAAATGTTACCTGAACAAAAATAGATTTAAAACTCAAGGGCTCTCCCAGGGCGCAGGCTCCTCTCCAACAGATTCACAGACAAATGATTTCCCTAATACTTCTGAGATCAAGCTTCTGTACCTAGACACTATAATCTTTAGTCAAAATCCAATTAAATTTTTCAAGGAGATAAAAAGAAAAATGAAAATAATGTTTATATCCATATATACTTCATATTTTATCAGATTTTCTTATTTCTTACTATTCCCAATCAAGCCTGAGTTCACGAGATTACTGCTGTGGAAGTTTTTCTTCAGAATAAAAGGCACCAGGCTCTTGTTCCTTTATATATTATATTCTTTTAGCTAAACTACTTTCATCACAAACAACTGATTTTGAAGTTTCTTGCAGAGTCTAGTTTGTTCACATAAAAGGGCTCTGCTAGCTTCAAGACCCTGTTTTCAGTACAACAATGGGAATGTAAATGAGCAAAAATATATATGGTCACCAGGTAGAGACAATATGCTTGCAAATTTGCTGTGCCTGTAAAATTACATGTATTTCTTAACAAATCCACTATTTTGCTTATGCAGTAGTTTTTGCATTTAGATGCGCAATTATATATTGAACTACTTAACATTCGTCAGAGTTGCTATTATGGAAAGTATTTGTAAGCATATATGTGTGTATATATATATATGTTCAACTGCTCATGGATTAGTATCTAAGTACGTAGTTAAAAGATACCTTAAATACATGAAATTTACTGTTTGCATATTCTACACTAAAGTGCAATGGCTGAAAGTTGAAAACACAGTTCTGCTGTGCCAAAGTACTCAATGAGCATATCATGAATATTTAGGCATTTCCATCATCCAAATGCCAATACGTTCTTATTTGCAATGTACTTTCTGACTATTCACTGCATCGGACGTAAAAAAAAAAAAAAAAATTGTGGTCTGAAATCCTTACCAATCTCTGACCCTTCCCCACTGCTGGAAGTGAGAAAGCTTAGCACACTGGGCATTGCAAGACAAGGATCTCTGCCTCATCTTGAAAGGCAATGACCTACAAAAAAACAAAAAACAAAACAAAACAAAACAAAACAAAAAAAAAAACCAGTTCTATTCTCATTACTAAATTCCTCAATAGTTCTATAGACTCGATCCATCTCTTCATCCTATAGTTATTCTTTTAGGAAGCACAGCAACTTCTACTGATAATATGAAAATTTCCCCACAAAATCATCAATACTCTTCAGTTTAGAGTATTTACACAAGAATTTACCCAAGAAAGGGAAGAGACAAATCCTTGTTCTAAATGACCTTGGACTTTAGATTTCCATCTAAATCTTCGAGATTTTGGTACCAACAGTATCCAGTCAAAACTTGCATATTAACACGGGAAAAACCTAACCAAAACCCTTTATTTAAAGTAATTTCTTAATAGCTGTTCTTATTTCTATAACTTGTGAATAGTTTCCAAAACATAGACTGAATTGGAAAACATCCAGTCCAAAGATGATGCTGATTTCTTTATTTCAGCCTACAGATGGACATGCTGCAGCCCAGAAAGGACTTGATTAAGGAAGATTCTGGAAGCAGTGAAGGCAGCAGTGGAGGAATGTGCCACAGCTCACAGGCCCCCTATCTGTGAGTTTAGCAGTCACTTTTACAGTCATGACAATGTTCTATGCTGAGCTTAGACAGTCAGACCAGAAACAAGTTAGACTATATTGTTCTGCACATCTTAGATCAAAATTACATAAGTATCATCACCCAAGACTAAAGCATTTGGTAGCACAACTTACTTCTTCCTGTGTGCTTTTACAGCACAATATAGCTTTAGTCAGTGATTGAGCTCACAAACACCGATACAATAAAAGTTACCAGAAGTCACAACAAATTTAATTGGAGTCAAATCTATAACACGTGCTTAGAATACTTGTACTCCTTATCTGCTAGCTGGCAGAACATGATCTGTTACTTAAGATTTCCTAGTGCTGTAAGGGCTCAGATGTGCCACAGTAACAGCTCTTCCTTTGGCACTACAGGACACTGCAAGAATGGGAATGTGGTGTACGTAGAGGCCATATCAACAGAATACAGCAGTCACCACCTTAGAATCTATGGAAAAAAGAACAACTGCAAATGTGACATTCAAATATACTGAGAGAATTAGTAATGTAATAAGATTTAGATGCTGAACTCTCCTAAACCCTTGTCAAAACTGGAGTAAAGAATAAGGTTTCCTGACTTCTTTCTCTGATTCTCTGAAATCTGTTAAGAGAAGAGAAAGCGATGAATAAGAGTGAAATTATGACAGATCAAAGCCTCTGTGAATATCCTAAGCAGTTCCTAACAAATGTGGCCATCTCTATTTACAATCTGAGGGGAAGTTTCTATGTAAGGAGCCTGGAAAGTGTGTGACACATTCAGTGTGTCTCACTGGCTTCTGAATTATACTGGCATCAGAGACTCCCAAGGCCGTATCTCACAGGCTCTAAGTGATCTACTGTTAGAGACCATTAGTGGGTGGATTTTGAATCCGGGACACAATGAGGGTCTGGTAGCCTTGAGGGCACATCGCCATGGTTTTGTCTCTGTTGTGGCAAAAGAAAGGCAGTTACATTAATTTTCCTTTTCCATTTGACTGGTTTGCTATGGCATTTTACTAAATCTCTGGGGATTGGAGTAATCAGGAACTTTTGGTAAATTAAGAAAGTAGATAAATAGAGACTTTTTAAAAGGCATTTCCCCATCATTCTTTCAAAAGGAAAGCAGGTGTTTGGCTCAAAGGGACTTGTTCTCTTGACAGTGCAGTAAGTGAGTAAAACTGCATTGTCCCCTAAAGCAAAGATAAATAACTTCAGAAAACATGAGAACTGAGCCCTTGTTGAGGAGGTGAATTGGGTGTCCACCCTCTTGAACTAATTTATAACATTGAAGATGTCAAATGACATGCTGAATGAAGAAATGATTTGTGACTTAGAAAAGATTAGCAGAGATCCCAGAGGCTTGGCCAAAGGCAACTCTATCTTGATAGAAGTGATCGACTGCCAAAATAAAGACTGCTATTAAGATTTTCATCTGGGAAAAGTGGGAGAGCTGCATTTTCCAACTGTGCTCTCAATTATCCATAGATTTTGCCAGACTGTGCAGCCAGAATGAAAGCGTGCCAAGCTTAGCCTACCCACTGTGTGCCCTTCGGAAGGACACAGGAAACTTAAGGAAAGGTTTCAGTACTTTAAGTACATCAAAAACAAAATAGCATTGGCATTCTGACTTTAGAGTAGGCAGCAAACAGGCATCTAGCTTCAGGCACGCAGCATGATGTGAAATCTTACAATAGACATTGTTTAAAACATGTAGTCATGTGCCTACTTATCCACACAGCTTCCTCACCTTATTCTTCTAAGAACCCTAATTTGTATGATCGGAGCTGGTAATTCTCATGGGAGAGGCACCAATGTCACAGTCAGTTTATACAACTCAAAACAGCCATGACAGACTACACATTCCTGTTTAAACTGGTATTATCAGTCACTGAACACACAACTAATTCCTGAGTGAGTTTGTCACCTTTGGGGCCAACTCCTCAGAGTGCACAAATATGCAGCTACACTGCTCTATATTAGCAGTGGATCAGCCTGTTGGGTCAAGGCTTTTGGATGCTTTGTGTCAGCCACATGTTCTCCTGCAATTAGAACAGCAAAGAGACATTGCAACAGAGTGTAGAAAGACATCCTGCAATTTAGGTTTCAAGGTGCGGAGAAAAGATGTCAGCAGCGATACCACACTGCCAGCTGTGTGATGTGGTGATTATCTATGGCAAAAAAAAAAAAAAAAAAAAAAGTTAATATTTTAAAGTTAAGGATCTAACAATTCCAGTTTACAGGGCTGCAATTCAGCCAAGAGCAACAAGTTGCACACCAGAGGAATTTAGCTTTTGACCTGATTAGATGCTGGAATCATCCAGTTCTATTTTATGTGTGAAACTTCACACAGCTCTAATTATTGAAGCCCTGAAGAAAAAGGCTGGAGGTGCTACAAAGCTGGCAGGTGTAAAAAAGTCAGGTATTGGCTCCCACCTCAGAAATCATATACACTTTCATGAGAAGATTTTCTAAAGGTGAAAGGCAGAGGAAAGAGAGAGATTTGATATCTGAATCCTGCTTGCGACAATGAAAATCCCCTCTTTGTCTGGGGTTAGCAAAGCACTTGAGAACACAATGAAACAAAGATTTTAATTATGATATTTGGGAAATTACTCACAAAGATCTTGTTATTGCTGTTGAGAGAAACTCATTTTCTAATGAAATTGAACAGAGAAAGGTAATTAATGTGAAAGTTGTACAGGATACAAGGAAATTCTCAGAGTGAAATGCACTCAAGTCAAAAATACAAAGTAGTCTCGATACAAAAGTGCTGACTGCCTCATACAACATGACTGGAGAATAAAAAACCCTCTTCAGAAAGGGGAAAGTGTAATATGAGCAACCGTAGAACTCAGCCTGGGCTGTTATTCAATTCAGTAACATACAAGAACCTAGGAAGAAGAATTAAGGTTAAAATAAGAATAAATGAATGTAAAAAGAAAACAGAATAAAATACACCTGAGGCATGCCAAAGGTAGATGTGACACACTACTCTTGCAGCACTCTGATGAATTACCTCTGTCTGCACAAAGAAGTAAAGTGACTTTCATGAAATCATTAGGAGCATTTCCAAAAGAAGAAATCAGTTTATTATGGAAACGGTGAGTTTAAGTACCAGCATTTTATTACGGATAGAAAAACTTAAGGATAATTGATTACATCAAAAAGTCAATTGAAGAATTGGAAGGTTATTAGATGTGCACCTCAAAGGCTATCAGGCTGGAACAGAACGTATTTAATACTTTCATTAGTGAGCATGGTAACAAGCAACGTAAGTGTACTCTCTAACAAAGGCTGGTGACCACATAGAGCCAGGGAGCCCGGTCCATGTAGGAGCATTGCACAGGAATGATCTTAACAGAGTTCAGCTGCATAGACTGCAGTGTTATATCAACAGAGAGAAAAACAGAGTTTCTTTTACAAGCAAAGACCATGATTTACGCAACAAAGGAGGAAAGTGAGCATGGTATTTTATTTGATCAGTCAGCACTTACAGAGGCAAATGCAATTTCAGGAGGCTTCAGGCAAAGTACAAAAGGGAATTATTAAAACTCCTGCACCATGCCCTGGTACTAATTCACCTGAGGCTGTGCATATAAATTCTCATCACTGACATTTAAGAAAGGTAAACTCAGACTGGAAAATGTACAAAGAAGGACAATTCCAGTGATAAGAGCAATGGATAGCCTGTCTAACAAGAGACAAGTAAGGGAACTTGGCTTATTAGCTCAACAAAATGTAGGCCAAGAAGGACTTGAATGTACTCAATTATTTCATCTGCTCTAGGCAGCACAGAGAGCAAAGAGCTTGGCACAGCTCTCAATGTGACTGGAAACTAGGGAAAATCCCCAGTTGCTGTGGCAATGTGCTTCCTGTGCAGCTTGCTAGGGCTGTGCAAGTAAGAAGCTGTCTATTTTACCATGAAGGGCAATATATTTATAAACAAGATTGCAGTAATGTTCTTGTCTGCAGTGAGGGAACTGGGTTGGTGAGCCATAGCCCTCACTTTTGTTAGAGATTTCTGACAAACATACTGCCAAACCACAGCCAGGGCTGTGATCTGAGATCTTCAGTTCCAGCACCAAGCGTCACTTGCTACCCAGTGTGCCAGAACAGAAGCAGCAGAAGCCAAGAGATGGAGCAGATCTCTGAAGAAACCCATTATACACATCAGATCACAGTATCCAATGCCAGAACCCCATATCTGTTAATACAAACTGAACACAATCGCTCTCATAGACTTTGGCTGTGCTGTTAAGATCAGCACAAAAACTTTCCTTCACTGATTCTGATTTGTTTTCCCTTTCTTGCCTTTCTCCTCCCTCATTTTAACCAGATCTCTTAATCTCTCATTTGAAGCACATTATCAGTAGCATTAGTGCTTTTGATTTCATGTTTGATGTCAT